ACATTTGTAACCATGCTGATTTTGTAAGAAAAAACGGCACTCTTCGTGTGATATTGATTAACTATATGAATTGATATAAATATATAAATTTTCTGCCTCCTTATCTTGAATTATGTGATCATTCTTAATGCATATTAATAGACTGAATCATGCCGTGAAAGAACCACTCTAAATGCGCATGCGCACTAAATACTTAGTTTTGGTCTAACCAGACTTCCTCTCGTCGCGTATGCACCAGTGTTGCCAACTTAGCAATTTTGTTGCTAGATTTAGCAACTTTTCAGACTACCCTAGCAACTTTTTCTTCCAAAAGCACCTAGCAGCAAATTTAGCTATTTTTTTTAAATTTATTTGGCAACATTTAGCAACTTTTGATAAGTGACTCAAATGATAAAAAAGGCACACATTTTCCATCTAAATTACACAAAAAGAGGAAACCAAAGGTGCCTATTAGTACACAATTCACATGAATTAAGTTGGCTGCTATTATCAATTGTTTAATTTAATAATAATAATAATAATTGAATAATTGTTCATTTATGATACACCTTGTTAGTAGCTTGTACTTGAGTTTGTTGATCAGTTAGTGCACGGTAAGAAAAATATCTAGAAAAATGAAAAAGGTATACATTTTCCAGGACATTATCCATTATCCATTGTAACCCTGAAAACACAAAATACAATGTGTAATTTAAAATGTAGGTAAAAAAACGTGTGAATAATAATTACGGAAAATTCCTTCATATTAATAGATTTTGCCCTATTTTTACAGACTTTTCTTAGAGTGTATCATACGAACTACTAATACACTGCTTAAATCTATAATCGTTCAGAATGAGTAGTTTTACTAGTTTACTAGCTAATAAAAATAAACTTAAATTGTAATTGTTAAAAAATGTGAAAGTGTTAAATAATTCAATGTTGTATTTAAAATTAGTTATTTATATTTTAATATTATATTATGCATTTATATTATTTTCTAAACACATCTAAATTAACATATTGATTTGATGCAGTGACACAATTTTGCATCGTGATTACGCAATGACGTCACCGCGCAATGACATTGCGTCATTTAGCAACTTTTAGCAACAAATAAATCTTCCTTTAGCAACTTCCCCTGAAAATTAGTTGGCAACACTGGTATGTACGCCTCTGTAGGTGTTTTGTTTAGCTTTTGCAATATACTCGATAATGTCTCACGAGTTCAGTATTTGCGCTAAACCTGCGCAGATTTGGCTTGCATGAACTTCCCCAAGAAATGAATGAGTGAACATAATTTACGAAAAGTAACCCGCCAAATTGGCTAGTGATTTGACAGCGTTACCCGCCACAGCTGATTTTTACCCGCATTTGGCAGGTTGGCGGCTGTTAATTTCAAACCCTGTTTGTAAACCTAATTTGTATTAATTATTGGACTTCGTTTTGTACTGAGAGGTAAATTTGCAGACGGTCCCTAAAGCAGCCTAGGCGAATATCCGGTGAATAGCGAACCTAAAACTAACTTTACCGCGCTGCAATAATTTACCATGTTTAACTTAGACATGGCTATTGTTTGAAAGAGTAAGTTTAAGTTAATTAACGGTATAAATACAAAACCAGATGAATATACTTCTGTTCTATCTAGGTTCAGAGCCCTCTTAACGACTATCTTGTTTTGGAAGGAAGAAGAAATGGAAGATATGCTTTGGAAGTCTAAGTATGGCCCTCATAACTGTTAAAAGCACAGCTATTTAAACATTATCCCCCTGGTTTCACAGACAAGGCTTAAGGCTGATCTCAGACTAAAATGCATGTTCATACTCTCTTAACTGAAAATAACTTGTAAAGACATATCTTAAAATATGTCAATGCCATTGTCAAGATGCACACCAGTAAAGTTTGTAAGGCATTTTTATAAAAGCTATTTAAATACCTTAATTTAACAAAGGCCTAGTCCTAGGGCTGCACGATTAATCAAAATTAAATAGCAAAGGCGATAAATCGCGATTAGGCAGAAGCTGCGATTGTCATGCATATCTTTCAGTGAAGCACGGTTCTGTGATCAGCAGTAAATCTCTATCTGAAGGCCAGAGTGCGCTCTCGCGCTGAAACTCCAAATACGCCTCGCAGAAGAAACCCAGGAAATCCCTATAGCATTGCTGAATAAACAGAAGATTTAACTGCTTTCATTAATTCAATGTGACTAATCAACACACGACTACGACAATATATGGTTTATCAGAGTTCGTCTTATTATAATTTTTATTATAATAAAGTATATAATAATGCAATGCTAATCGACATAGCCTTTATCACTGCTTAGAATACTATGAAATATGGTGCGTGCCTTATTCTGTGTAAGAAGCCACATAATCTCACAGAAGGATTTATTTCAAATTCTCGACTGACGTTATGAAGTGAGTTTGGAGTAAAAACATGTTATTAAATGTGGTATTTTCAAGTGCTTTCAGGTGGAGCAGCATTTACTACACAGAGCTGTAGTTCACTGACAAGCTACGCAAACACCTTACACAATCGCAGAATGATTTCTTCGATTTCATAATCGCGCAATTAATTTGTCTGCAATTATGGACGCGATTTTGCATAGCTTGTCAGTGGACTACAGCTCTGTGTAGTAAATGCTGCTCCATCTAAAAGCACGTGTTGGAGATTTACTACTAATCACAGAACCGGCTTTACTGACAAGATACGCATGACAATCACATTCAATTAATCGTGCAGCCCTACCTAGTCCTGGCTTAAGCTAAGCCCTGTCTGTGAAACCCTGTCTCTATGTTCAAACATGAAAGTTATACAAGAACGGAACAATTTCCTTGTTCACATCAGGCATGTGCATACATTTAAATCACTTGAACTGAGGATGATCACTTTATTGACTGGCGCACTGCACAATTAAATGTAAACCCTAAAGTTATGGAATCATTTTTGTGATGTGAAGTTGTGGAAACGTAAAAAAAAACAGGAAGTCCTGTCAATCCCTTGAAAATCACCTTCCTTGGAGAGCCTGTAAAAATAAATAAATACAATTATATGTATATAAAGCTAAAAACAATAAAGCAAAATGTTCAGCATCATTACTCTAGTCCTAAGTGTCCCTTTTAGATGTTTTTTAAGCTTTTGTTTTTTTAAGCTTTAATGTGAGTCACTATTACCATTACCTTTCTCCACAAAAGCTGGCATGGCAGTTCTACTTCTGACACTGGAAATGTTCCTGTTCATATTGGACACTGGGCTTCAAGTGCATACACATTAAAGACATTAAAGATTAAAGATCACATTAAAGATTACATTTTGTAAAATAGGAATTGATAAATGCATTTTTTTAAATACAGAGATAGCTTGTTAAAAGCACATATCAGTTCATATTTATGGTGTCCCAAAATAGCAGTTGAGTACTCTTAGATGATCTTAAGTTTATCTTAGCATATTAAGTACAAAATTAGTGCACGAAAATAGAGCACTTTAAGTATACTATGGAAGTGCACTTTTTTTCACCTGGGTCAAGGTCATATTCTGCATTCACTCCATGTCATAATTACTGTAATTCTGAGAGAACAACATTATGATGTTCTACTTGGGAGCTGTTCATGTCCTTGGACCGGGAATTGTGCGTTTCTAACACTATCAATGACTAAATAGCAGGTAATGCTCAACCTTGGAAAAGGTGATGTAGCATCTGCTTAGGATCATTGAGGGTCATGTGGGCTTTATGTCTCAGAGACCCTTTCAGCCTTTTGACATTTGCATATAAATTACAGTCCAGGCCCCAGATTCTACATTTATATGGGTGCTAAATTGCCAATGGTTCCCCCCATTATCAATTAGAGGCTAACCAGATCAACTCTCTGGTCTCCCCATCGACTTCAAACACATTCCAATCTCCTAAGAGACAGTCATCCACAGTACCTGGCACCAGATGTCTGATGGCCAGCGAACTACCCCCATGCTCGCAATAAACATAACACACACACATAAAGACATTTTCTTTATTTAGACTATAATTAATAAGTTACAATTGTATCTGGTATATGCATGTGTTGTTTGTATGTTTCCCTATTATATTAGCCTAGTTACAACTCTTTATTTGTATTAGTTAGACTCTCAATGCTTATATTCAGGGATATGAGTGTATCTCTGCTTTAAGATCTTCTAGATGTTTCGTTCTTGGTATCAAAATGATGGGTTTTTGATGAAACTGCATAAGTCTGTCTCACAGATCGTTGTTCCAATCAGACATTGGCTGCAGGGCGGGGCCACGCTCCGCAAGGTTCTTCTTCATGCATAAATTAACATAATGCTTTAATTTATCACATGGGAACATCCTTGCCAGATTTTATTAATACTTTTATAAAGTTTCTTAATGTGAGTATCGTTCCCACTTCTCATTCATACCAAAGTTTAGCACATAAAATAAGCTTTCATTCAAGCTCAAATAGTTTGCATACACATTAATAATCTTATCTACTAAAAGGGGTTATAAAACATTGGTTAAACTTGCACCGATTACAGGAAACACATCAAGCATATATAAGATATAAAACATATTATTTGTGAATATAGTTGCCCTTTTATACTTTTAAATGATTGTCTTTTGAATTTTCTGTGTAAGTTCTATGTTCCTTTGTCTGTAACAGGAGAAACGCGCGTTTTTCTGGAACGTAGAGAAAGGGGAAGGACAGAGAAAGTCCTGAGGTCAATGGAGGTTGCAATAAGTCATGCGGTGTAGACCTGCTATTCTTCTTGCTCGGACATGGAGCTATTAATGTCACTTTCTGCTTATCAGATTATCGATTTATGCGTTAAACGGTCATGGGGTCCAGGAGTGTCTGTCGCTGGAACATTTCCAGATACAGCGTTCTTTGTTCTGTTGTTTATTAGATTTTTATTTATGTTGAAGCCAGTCACGAGACAACACTGAAGTTCTGTTGCTTAAATGAGTCCAGATGCAGGGGTCAGTTATCGCTGTCTCAGTGCTTGCAGACCCAGGAGGTGGTTTTGTGAATCACACTCTTCCTGTGTTTCTTGCAATGATAAGTCGAGCAGGATAAGAACTATTTGAGACAATTGGTGCCTGAGCTGACCATGGTTCAGTTTTTTACGACTCGCACTTGAGAGGAGACTCCTTAGCTTCTGCTTAAGGAATGTGCTGTTCTGTTCAAAGGAGATCCTACATATGTGATCGTGAAATGAATCATACTATTTGTACCATATTTTAGGTAAAACTGCACCAATACTCCAGACCAGCAATAAACATGCAAATGGGGCATAAACAGAGACAAAGAAAGGTTCTCCCGCTCAAAATTCATGTGTCACGAATCCTGTCCATGGACTTCCGTTCAATCACCACCAGGGGTCACCCTTTCATTACATAGACTCTCGCACAACACAAACCGTTGCATGTCATCCCGGACTACATATCCCATCAGCCATTGCACTGATTGCACACAGCACTGATTGCACACAGCTGTCATCAATCACACATTCACTATATAACACTCACTCAAACAACCATTCTCTGCCGAGTATTGTTTAGCCTGTACCCTGTTCCGAGTCTTCCTCAGCTCCACCTGTACTGCCGGCTCCACCCTGGCTCTCTGCTCCGCAGGCTCTGCCTCAGTCCCTGGTCTCTCCTATCGTTGGATCTGGCCCTTCATCCCTCCCCCTGTTCCGCCTCCACTCCACCGCCCACCTGGATCATATAATGTTCGGAGCATCTAGAAGCCGCTCCTTGGGGGGGGGGGGGGGGGGAAGGTAATAACTCTTGCCCAGGGCTCTGCCAAGTATTGTTTAGCCTGTACCCTGTTCTGAGTCTCTGTGTTTCCTGGCCTTGCCTTGCCTTCTTGTTTTTGACCTTGAACTGTTTATTGGATTGCTCTTCTGTCTCGCCCTGTTGGATTCTGTTTGCCGTCGACTGACCCTCGCTAGTTTACCGGATTGCCCTTGCCTTGTCTTCTCCATACCAGTTTGCCATTGTCTGACCCATGCCTGTTTCTGACCACGCCTGTGAATAAAGCTTGTACATGGATCCGCACGTCTCACGTCTTGTCTTCCCCGTAACATCATGCCTCTGATTGGCCATCCCACCCAAAAGGTGGGTGTGGATAGGAACTTTCAAAAGTCATTAGCTCAGACTAATCTTGGCTCAAATCTTTCTTCTTGAAATGAACACTATCCAAGACTCCTCAAAACTCTCCTTCTTGAGTTTGATTTTCCGGCAAATTTTATCTTCAAGTAATTTTGTTGATCCGCTGTGGACTTTCCTATCTCCAGAAGAACCAGGAAAACCTCCAGCTCACTTCTAAAAGAACTCATCAAGAACCTCCGTTGTCTACCGCATCAGGATTCTTGTTCAGCAACGAAGCCAATGCAAGTAACCGTTTACAACTATTTAGATGCGTGTTTAAGTTTGAGCCCCTTTTAAGGTGATTTTTGATTCTTTGATGATTCTCATTAGGTTGTGGTTAATTGATGTGAAATACTGCCATTATTTTGCTCTTCTCTCTCTCTTCCTTTTCTTCATTCTGTATATATGTGTTTTGCTTAGTCTTGTTGTATGTTAGCTGTAGTTTCATAGTTTCATTTCCTTATATTCGCAATTAATTGCCTCTGTGTGCTGCTCACGATTTGGGGTCACTGAATGTTGAATCTTGCTATCTTGCTACTTAGTGCTAGTACTGCTAGTTTTGACAATATGGGACCTTTAAAGCACAGCTCTGTTTTGACATCGACTTGACAGATAGTTTGTTCTGTCCATTGCTACAGTTATCTTATCACCGTCAATCGCAGATCAATTTGGTGGATTCACTCACATAATTTTTTACACTCGCGTTTGTCATTCCTGAAACTGTATACATGGACGGTTTGGTTCTCTTAAAAACTGTATTTTTTCGGAAGTATGTAGAGATACCGAGCAAAGGGCGCTTCCCTTAAGGTGTAACTGACCAAGCTCGCTCACGCGAAAACTCCTGATATAATCAATAACTAACTACACAATGAATATCTTATTTACATCGTGTATGCTTTCTTTTTGTCTTGTGATAATAGGAAGATCTGTGAGCGTGTAGAATTAGGTAAACTTGCGAAAACAAAAATTAGACCAGAGCGGATTTTGACTAACCTACAGTAAACACCTGTGATTGGCCACTGCTTTCAACAGAGATGCCTGTGATTGGCTACAATACTCAACGCTGCAAAACACGTTTTAAATAGAAACTTTTGGTTTTGTAATTCGAAACCAGAGCACACACACAAATACACACAGGAGCGTTTGAAAGCGGGTGACTTCGAGCGGGTAAAGAATTGAGTTGGTACTACTGGCACTGTAAAAAGCCTCTCTCCCCTCCTAAACAATTTTAAAAACTCAGCGGACCCATTTTGAATTCAAAACGGCGAATTTCGCCGAAAGGTGACAAGTTTGCATCCCTGATTACAAGAGATTTGTGCAGTGGAAATGGGTAGAACAGTTCAAGAATGGAACCTGCAACCATGTCGGTGGTAAAGGGGTATAGGAGCATGTGACCGCCTGTGTGAGTTTTGTCGACAGCCAGAGAAGGCACTAAATTTGACAGACACAGTCATTTTGAAATTCTCTATGCAGGAAAAACACTGCCTTAAATGAAATGCATTTAATATTTGGTCCCACTTTATAGTAAGTTTCCCTAATAGCGGTGTACATAGTATGTAACCACAGTGTAAGTACACATTGGTACATAGTATCTACAGCTGTACTATTTCTTTAACTACACACGTAACAACCCTCCGAATGGTTTGTGTAAGTACAAATGTGTAACAGGACATGTACAACTAAATTTTTTAACAACAATATGTATAAGAGTAATTGGAACCATCTGATCCAGGGGGTGGAGATGGGTAGGTTTAGGGGTGGAAATGGGATCCAGGTGGTGGAGATGGGTAGGTTTAGGGATATGTAAAGTGGGAGGAGTTGGATCTCGAGTTGGAGTAGTTTGTTACTACAGTTGTTTGAGTTGGAGTACCATACAAGTACATACAACTGTACTTGCATGGTAACTCCTCAGGAACTGTCCACTTAATATAAAGTGTAACATTCTGGACACCAACCACAATTTATATGTAAAGCCTAACTTACTGGCCGCTGCTGTGTAACATCAGAGTAAGTACATAATAAATCTAATATAAAGTGTAACACTTTCTTTACCAAAAAGTGCTGTTAGTCCTGTTACACATTTGTACTTTCATTACCAAAAAGTGTTGTTACCAATATCCTGTTACACATTTGTACTTACACATACCATTCAGTGGGTTGTTACCTATGTGTAGTTACACAAACATTAGAGCTGTAAATACTATGTACCAGTGTGTACTTACACTGTGGTTACATACTATGTACACTTCTGAGTCTCTGTGTTTCCTGGCCTTGCCTTGCCTTCTTGTTTTTGACCTTGAACTGTTTATTGGATTGCTCTTCTGTCTCGCCCTGTTGGATTCTGTTTGCCGTCGACTGACCCTCGCTAGTTTACCGGATTGCCCTTGCCTTGTCTTCTCCATACCAGTTTGCCATTGTCTGACCCATGCCTGTTTCTGACCACGCCTGTGAATAAAGCTTGTACATGGATCCGCACGTCTCACGTCTTGTCTTCCCCGTAACATCATGCCTCTGATTGGCCATCCCACCCAAAAGGTGGGTGTGGATAGGAACTTTCAAAAGTCATTAGCTCAGACTAATCTTGGCTCAAATCTTTCTTCTTGAAATGAACACTATCCAAGACTCCTCAAAACTCTCCTTCTTGAGTTTGATTTTCCGGCAAATTTTATCTTCAAGTAATTTTGTTGATCCGCTGTGGACTTTCCTATCTCCAGAAGAACCAGGAAAACCTCCAGCTCACTTCTAAAAGAACTCATCAAGAACCTCCGTTGTCTACCGCATCAGGATTCTTGTTCAGCAACGAAGCCAATGCAAGTAACCGTTTACAACTATTTAGATGCGTGTTTAAGTTTGAGCCCCTTTTAAGGTGATTTTTGATTCTTTGATGATTCTCATTAGGTTGTGGTTAATTGATGTGAAATACTGCCATTTTGCTCTTCTCTCTCTCTTCCTTTTCTTCATTCTGTATATATGTGTTTTGCTTAGTCTTGTTGTATGTTAGCTGTAGTTTCATTTATTAAATCCCTTATATTCGCAATTAATTGCCTCTGTGTGCTGCTCACGATTTGGGGTCACTGAATGTTGAATCTTGCTACATGCTAAATTACTGCTAGTACTGCTAGTTTTGACAATATGGGACCTTTAAAGCACAGCTCTGTTTTGACATCGACTTGACAGATAGTTTGTTCTGTCCATTGCTACAGTTATCTTATCACCGTCAATCGCAGATCAATTTGGTGGATTCACTCACATAATTTTTTACACTCGCGTTTGTCATTCCTGAAACTGTATACATGGACGGTTTGGTTCTCTTAAAAACTGTATTTTTTCGGAAGTATGTAGAGATACCGAGCAAAGGGCGCTTCCCTTAAGGTGTAACTGACCAAGCTCGCTCACGCGAAAACTCCTGATATAATCAATAACTAACTACACAATGAATATCTTATTTACATCGTGTATGCTTTCTTTTTGTCTTGTGATAATAGGAAGATCTGTGAGCGTGTAGAATTAGGTAAACTTGCGAAAACAAAAATTAGACCAGAGCGGATTTTGACTAACCTACAGTAAACACCTGTGATTGGCCACTGCTTTCAACAGAGATGCCTGTGATTGGCTACAATACTCAACGCTGCAAAACACGTTTTAAATAGAAACTTTTGGTTTTGTAATTCGAAACCAGAGCACACACACAAATACACACAGGAGCGTTTGAAAGCGGGTGACTTCGAGCGGGTAAAGAATTGAGTTGGTACTACTGGCACTGTAAAAAGCCTCTCTCCCCTCCTAAACAATTTTAAAAACTCAGCGGACCCATTTTGAATTCAAAACGGCGAATTTCGCCGAAAGGTGACAAGTTTGCATCCCTGATTACAAGAGATTTGTGCAGTGGAAATGGGTAGAACAGTTCAAGAATGGAACCTGCAACCATGTCGGTGGTAAAGGGGTATAGGAGCATGTGACCGCCTGTGTGAGTTTTGTCGACAGCCAGAGAAGGCACTAAATTTGACAGACACAGTCATTTTGAAATTCTCTATGCAGGAAAAACACTGCCTTAAATGAAATGCATTTAATATTTGGTCCCACTTTATAGTAAGTTTCCCTAATAGCGGTGTACATAGTATGTAACCACAGTGTAAGTACACATTGGTACATAGTATCTACAGCTGTACTATTTCTTTAACTACACACGTAACAACCCTCCGAATGGTTTGTGTAAGTACAAATGTGTAACAGGACATGTACAACTAAATTTTTTAACAACAATATGTATAAGAGTAATTGGAACCATCTGATCCAGGGGGTGGAGATGGGTAGGTTTAGGGGTGGAAATGGGATCCAGGTGGTGGAGATGGGTAGGTTTAGGGATATGTAAAGTGGGAGGAGTTGGATCTCGAGTTGGAGTAGTTTGTTACTACAGTTGTTTCAGTTGGAGTACCATACAAGTACATACAACTGTACTTGCATGGTAACTCCTCAGGAACTGTCCACTTAATATAAAGTGTAACATTCTGGACACCAACCACAATTTATATGTAAAGCCTAACTTACTGGCCGCTGCTGTGTAACATCAGAGTAAGTACATAATAAATCTAATATAAAGTGTAACACTTTCTTTACCAAAAAGTGCTGTTAGTCCTGTTACACATTTGTACTTTCATTACCAAAAAGTGTTGTTACCAATATCCTGTTACACATTTGTACTTACACATACCATTCAGTGGGTTGTTACCTATGTGTAGTTACACAAACATTAGAGCTGTAAATACTATGTACCAGTGTGTACTTACACTGTGGTTACATACTATGTACACATCTAGTTACTATGTAAGTACTGAGGTATTAGGGACACAATATAAAGTGGGACCTAATATTTTAAGTAGAATTGTTTCTTCAAATTCAGATAAAATGTCAGAACCAACAGCCTTGTGCAGTGCTACAACATATAACATGGATGTGCTTCAGGTGATCCTTGAAAGAGTCCCAGCTCTAGGTCCTTTCTAATGCTGTCCCCTCCTCTCTCTCCCACTTGTGCGCTCTCTGTACTGTCCTGTATAAATAAAAACGAAAACACCAAAAATACATACTCAAAATATAATTTTTTTATATTGTGAAATATCTTTTACTGAAAACTGAATACAAAATAAAGCACGTACAATATTTTCACTTACAGTTCAATAACAGTGGGGTTGGAAACAAAGTGCACAACACTATTCATTAAACACTTATTTGACGTATTCAGACGAAAGTTTACAATATTAACCAATTATTCACAAGCAGTTTTTCAGAGACCCCAGTTACACTGTAGTAATCAGAGACCTAACTACAGACTAAGTACATAATAAAAATGTACTTAATTTGATTTGACTTGTTTTACTAAATATATGCTGTATAGTGTATTTAGTAAAACAAGTAAAATCAAATTAAGTACATTTTTATTAAATTAAGTAAAATACCTATCACAAAAGGTCAATGAATCTCTACCAGAAGCGACAGTGCAATGTAGCAGATGAACAATTCCTTACCAAATTGCCAATAAGCTGGATCCTTGATGACTCTACAAGGGGAAAGAAGAAATGGTTTACTGAAAAGTTCTTAAAAAGCATAATTTAGTTTTATATCATTCCTTTAAACAATCTTAATTTATTTAAATATTACAGACATTTGCCATTATATGATATTTAGAAAACACGTCATCTTTGAGATGTTATTATACGATTAAAAATGTAAACCCTGCATGGCATTCACATCAGAAAAATGTGAATCTCTAAAAGACAAACATTAACACATACACTGTAAAAAAATTAAAGCCATTTCAACTAATTATTATTTAGTAACAAGTTCCATTGTTATGTTCATTCAATTTCTGTCTTCAAAGTGTTGCCTGTATTGTTATTTTTTAGTTGGCTCAACCTTTACTGAATAGTTTATAGTCCATGCAACTAAAATTATTTAATTGGTCAAACATTTAGAAAACTACAGCAAATTGTGTCAATTAAAATGTAACCATTCACTCCATGTGTTTCCTATGTTACCTCAACTAAGATTTATTATTTGGGCATCATAACAAATTGCTGTGGAACTAGTTATTATATTTTATATTGAGTTTAAGAAAAGTATTACCTGGTGTCTATCAATCACTAAAACACACACATTACAACACATAATAGCCTTTATTTAATAACAATCTGCATTTATAACATTTGTCATACAAACTAAACATGCAGGCTTAAAGGGATAGTTCACCCAAAAATGAAAATTTGCTGTTAATTGACTCACCCTCAAGCCATCCAAGATGTAGTAAACTTTTTTTTTCTTCTTCAATTGAACAGTAAAGGAATTTTTTAGGTGAAAACATTGTCTTTGAAAACATTGCAATTCATAAATTGCATGTCTCTGGCTGCCGGGTTTTGAGAGTCAAATAAACATATACAGACAAGACCAAATTACCAAATGCTCCTGAGGACACATTGAGGCCTTATAAAGCTAAAAAAATCAAAAACCGGCAGCCACAGACGTGCAATGTATGAATTGACAAGGATCACCGTTTCAGATAAAAACAAACATTTACAAATGTTACTACTATTCTACTACACGGCAAAATCACTGGTGTAGAATTTTCAGGGACGGTGTAAAATTAACAGTGTTGACATTGTTTTAACACTACATGGTGATAAAATAACACTGCTGTTGTTATTTGTAAGACAGTGTCAGTGTGAAATTTAAGTGTATTTTCAAATTTCAGCCAAAGTGGCGTAAAAACCCACGCCTCCACTTAACGCTAGGCCACCAGTCTGTGTCCGCCATTTTCTTTTACTTGAAGCCGAAGCCAAAGAAAAAGCAGGTAAATCAGATTCTCACACGATATAGCTAAATTAAATTGTTATTTTTATATCTACGGAGCCTTTTGATTGGCTACCTCAGTAATTCAGATCATGGACGTGGTTTAAACTAGGGCACTAACATTAATTACGTGTCCGTAATTTACCTAAAATGAAGGAGCGTATTAATAAATCGTGAATTCATAAAACAAATTCCTAAATCGCGGCCACGACATTTAGGTTTCCCCCTCTAACGTCACATTGCGCCTTTTACACGTTAAAAACCACACAGTTGGTCATGAGCAAAACACGCAAGTTAATGTTTGTAACTGTACAAACGCTGAGTTGTATAAAAAGATAAAATATCAAGGACAGGAGGAGAATTTACAGGGGATAAAAACTATTGAAAGAATTAAGGCCTAATAGGCGGATGAAGCCGTGACGCACTCTAAATGCTCACCTGATGAGAAGAGTGCACGCCATGTGAAAGTGAAAAGTGAAAGTGATGTGACATGTGGCCAAGTATGGTGACCCATACTAGGAATTAGTGCTCTGCATTTAACCCATCCAAAGTGCACACACACAGCAGTGAACACACACACACACACCGTGAACACACATCCGGAGCAGTGGGCAGCCATTTATGCTGCGGCGCCCGGGAGCAGTTGGGGGTTCGGTGCCTTGCTCAAGGGCACCTCAGTCGTGGTATTGAAGGTGGGAGAGAGCGCTGTACATTCACTCCCCCCACCTACAATCCCTGCTGGTAACCTTTGGGTTACGAGTCCGACTCTCTAACCATTAGGCCACGACTTCCCCGACGTCCCCTGTCAAACGTTGTTCTATAGATGTGGCGCACTGCGCAACCAATTTCAGAATGTTTCAGCTAGTCGCTTGGTGAGTGTACGGGCTTAAAATCTACCCTCGTCGAACACTGTTTAAGGTGTTTATTTGACCGTGTAAGTTGCCGTTTTATTAAATATTGTCTGTGGAAGAACGTATAAACACGCTGCATAATGCTAGATTAACAAAAGTTCTATTTCGAGGGGTGCTGCAGGCCTGGCTTTTTTATTGACGTAAACATGAGAAATATCACCAAAACAACACTTTATCAGGACAAAAACGTCACTCCGTTTAATCATTTATAAGCGAAACTTGCTTGGTTGGTTTAAAAATTTAATTTTAGGAGTTAGCGTTAGATGTAACGTTAGCGGTGTTTGTGTGTGTTTTAGTTTTTTATATTGGTGTCATCTAGATCAGTGTTTCCCAACCTTTTTTTAGTCGCGGCACCCTTTGGAAATTAACAAATTTGTGGCACACTACAAAATTAATTTTGTCACAATATTTTAATTTCTAACTTCGATATGATAATTTGAAAAGTTTAGATATTCAGTACAACAGGGAAGAACTGCAGAATATAATGTCATACAGATATTTTTAATATTATAAAAAGAAATGTGTTCATCAATGGTGGCAATCAGTAGGCTAATTTCTAATGAAGAGACCAATTTATATGACAGATTTTAATGTAGGCTTTTATTCATATGTAAACATTGTGAGATAGCTAGTTATAATGGTAATTAAACAAAGTTTTGCGCATTTTTGATTTTACAGCTGGGTAATTTTGTTGCAGTAGCACGAGATAGCTTGATTTAAAACTTTCAATTGAATAAAAAAAATGACAAGGAGGCTATGCAGTTAATAATAAAATAAGAACAAATAAAGAAATTACTAATGATAGCACAAATAAAAAATAATGATAGGCCTGCAAATTAAATAAATTGCTTTTTAGTTTTTCGGGTAGGTCTAACACACAGTAGGGCTATTAAGAGATTTTTTTTTTTTTTTTACCAATTATCCAAATAATGTTTAATCCTAGAAAGCTATTATTATCAGAGGACACGTGAGCATAACGGTTAGCAGATCAATGAATGAGAGGGCAGTGTTACCAGAGTTGCCCGTTTACCACACCTTGTTACAGCACAGTAAGGCTATTGCAAACAGAAACAATACTGTACTACATCGATGTTTCCTGTCAGCTCGATGTTTGAGTGGACTTTGCTGTTCCGATGAGCATGAACGGTATATGAGTGGAGCGCTCACATAGAGCGGGATAATACGCAGAGCGTCACACCACGTGAAAGTGAAACCTGAGCTGTGAACTAATTTTCGGCAGCCGAAATTTCAGTGCGTCTGTAATTATTGGCGACATCAGAAATGGATATTATATAATAGCTGCTTTTTTGAACATTTTAGCAATTTAAAAATATTAAAAAATGATTTTTTTACGCGGCACCCCTGCTCTCGACAGGCGGCAACCCGTTTGTGAAACACTGATCTAGATGACAAAACACCTAAGATATGTGCTAGCTTGGTTAAAAAAAAAGTACACAGATTGTCTGTGATTATCCTAATAGTGAGAGTGTTTCATTCTGAACAAATGCTGGTTCAAGTGGAGTGTAAAGGTAACCCGAAATGGATCCGAATACCAGTGAAAAATGACTGTTTTGACTTCTGTGAATTCATTAAAGAAGGTACGTTTTTCACATTTAGAGTAATTTTAAGTTCATTATGACAGTGTTATTCACTTTGAAATCAATGATTCTTATTCATATTAAAAAGTATCAGTCATAATATATCTACAATTTTTTGTATTAGATATTCAGTGTATTTTAAATAAACTTAATCCCAAATAATATTCTGATCACACTAAAGTGGTTTTATTCAATTTTTTTAGCATATAGTAATGCTAAGTCTTTGTATCTTTCGATACATTTGACTTTAATTCTATCCTACTGATCTGTATAGTTATTTATTTTATTGTATTAGATTTATTTTATTTATTTATTACTTGCATTTGAAAATAATTCCAAGCAATTAAAATGTTGTCATTTCAGTATGTTTGAACATGAAATCGAATTGTATTTGTTTCTACCTCTAAGCTTCAGCAAAGTTCAACTTGCCGCATAGAGCCAATGTGGTTCTTAAAGGGGTCATATGATGCGATTTCAAGTTTTCCTTTCTCTTTGCAGTGTTACAAGCTGATTGTGCATAGATAAGATCCCTGAAGTTGCAAAGACTAAAGTCTCAAAACCAAAGAGATATTCTTTATCAAAGTTAAGACTCTGCCACGCCCCCGTAAAACAGCTCGTTCTAACACGCCCCCACATATCTACCTCACTATGTGGAAATATTAGCATAATGCCTGAAATCCGCGTCCCCTCTGTCTCGAGTCCAGAATACGGTTGACCGAATAAGTTGGTTCCCCATCTACGAGGCGCAGCGGGGGGAGAACCGGGGCTGGCGGATTAATGGGTGAATGAAAAACGGGCTTCAATTTAGAGACATGAAAGACGGAATGAATTCTCCGGTACACCGGAGGAAGTTTGAGATGGACTGCCACTGGGCTAAGAATCTTAGTGACAGTAAATGGGCCAATACATTTTGGTGCTAGTCTATTACAAACAGGGCGGAGAGGAATATTTTTGGAAGAAAGCCACACTTTTTGACCAACGACGTAGACGGGGGGCTTCGACCGGTGGCGATCGGCCTGAGCCTTAGTGCGCGCTCCCACCCAGAGGAGAGTCTCACGGGCTCTTCTCCAAGTGTGACGCCACCTCTGGACGAAGGCGTGAGCAGAGGGGACCGCGACTTCGGATTCCAGGTCAGGAAAAATGGGTGGCTGGTAACCTAAACTACACTCAAATGGCGAGAGGCCCGTAGACGACACTGGTAACGAGTTATGAGCGTACTCAGCCCATGAGAGTTGCTGGCTCCAGGAGGTGGGATTCTGTGCCACCAAACATCGTAACACTCTCTCAAGGTCCTGGTTGGCCCGCTCAGTCTGGCCGTTGCTCTGAGGATGGAAACCAGAGAACAGACTGACACTCGCCCCCAGTAACTTACAAAATTCTCCCCAAAATTTGGGGGAGTAGACGGGCGCTCGGAAGAATCAAATATTCGAGATAAGGCGTCGGGTTTGATGTCCGAGCCTGCCTAGAATTAAGACGTTTAGCGGATCTAATATACTCCGTTCGCTGAATCCATAGGTTGATCAGATCGTTCTGTCACGGGTACAAAAGGAGGATTCAATTGCAAATGTGAAATATAACAGTTTATTAGGAAAAGGTTCCAACCAGACCAAAGGCAAGAGTTAAACTTTCAGCACATATCAAATGCACGAGTCAATCAAATTATTTATTATACTGAGATTTATCTCAGATGGAATCTGCAGACTTTTTTGGCATTGTCTGCACATTTTCTTCTAGAAAAATCTGCAGAATTCTGTGGAAGGAATGTAAACCTTGTCAAATGTGTAAAGCTTAGAATACTGTTATTGGTAGCTGTAAGTATCATAAAATAAGTATAAATATTTTATAGTTTGGGTAGTGCATTGTGTGTAGTGG